TTGGGCAAAGACAAAACAGGTTCTGTTTTTAGGACCTGAACCTGGTTGTTTTCCCAGGTTGGAAAAACAGAACCAGAGGTTGTTTACCAACCTACCACCTGCTGTTTTGTCCAGCCAGGTTGGTTCTGTTGCTTGGAATTATTTGGGATCATCCCTGGTTGTTCCCAGGTTGATTCCCAAGGTCCTTGTTAGCTAGAACTATATATTCCTTCTCTGTTTGTACCTGAATAATATTAAAATTGATTCAAGCGAATTCCTTCCTTGCTGGAATTTCGTATCCACGCGATTCGACGGCAGAATGCTACCGAGTCAACGCTAGTACGCTAGCACTCCAATGCTAGGCAAACGCTGTCCGAGCCGTAACTCTGCAATGGCAGAACTTTTCGCGAGGCAACTTGGCTCTTTTGAAAGCTCTTAGAGTGAGCTTCGATATAACGACTTCTCAGCTTAATCCGATCGACGGTCTGCACGACACGCTGCGCGACATTCAAGGTACTCTTGCTGTTTTGACAAAGTCCCTCTTGATCCCTCTCTCTACAAACTCGGACCCGAGGTTAGGGGCTGGTCTTGTACCAAGCACCCAGGGACCCTTGGAGGTGACCCCGAGGAGTGGTTTTAAGTTGGATAACGTCTTAATAGCCTGAGTTTATTAGGCCCTTACACCAACATGGGTAAATAACGCACTCACTCTTGGAACCAGCCATATGGGTAAGTAACACACTTACTCTTGGTACCAACCGTATGGGTAAGTAACGGACTCACTCTTGGTACCAACCATATCGGTAAGTAAAGCACTTTCTCTTGGTACCAACCGTATGGATAAGTAACGCACTTACTCTTGGTACCAACCGTATGGGTAATTAACGCACTCACTCTTGGTACCAGCCATATGGATAAATAACGCACCCATTTTTGGTCCCAACCATATGTATAAGTAACGCACTCACTCTTGGTACCAACCATATGGGTAAGTAACGCACTTACTCTTGGTACCAACCGTATGGGTAATTAACGCACTCACTCTTGGTACCAGCCATATGGGTAAGTAACGCACTTACTCTTGGTACCAACCGTATGGGTAAGTAACGGACTCACTCTTGGTACTAACCATATGGGTAAGTAAAGCACTTTCTCTTGGTACCAACCGTATGGGTAAGTAACGCACTCTCTCTTGGTACCAACCATATGGGTAAGTAACGCAATTACTCTTGGTACCAACCGTATGGGTAATTAATGCACTCACTCTTGGTACCAACCATATGGGTAAGTAACGTACTTACTCTTGGTACCAACCATATGGATAACTAACGCACTCACTCTTGGTACCAACCGTATGGGTAAGTAACGCACTTACTCTTGGTACCAACCATATCGGTAAGTAATGGACTCACTCTTGGTACCAACCATATGGGTAAGTAACGCACTTACTCTTGGTACCAACCGTATGGGTAAGTAACGCACTCTCTCTTGGTACCAACCGTATGGGTAAGTAACGCACTTACTCTTGGTACCAACCGTAGGGATAAGTAACGCACTTACTCTTGGTACCAACCGTATGGGTAATTAACGCACTCACTCTTGGTACCAACCGTATGGGTAATTAACGCACTCACTCTTGGTACCAGCCATATGGGTAAGTAACGCACCTACACTTGGTACCAACCATATGGGTAAGTAACGCACTTACTCTTGGTACCAACCGTATGGGTAAGTAACGCACTCACTCTTGGTACCAACCATATGGGTAAGTAACGCACTTACTCTTGGTACCAACCGTATGGATAAGTAACGCACTTACACTTGGTACCAACCGTATGGGTAATTAACGCACTCACTCTTGGAACCAGCCATATGGGTAAGTAACACACTTACTCTTGGTACCAACCGTATGGGTAAGTAACGGACTCACTCTTGGTACCAACCATATCGGTAAGTAAAGCACTTTCTCTTGGTACCAACCGTATGGATAAGTAACGCACTTACTCTTGGTACCAACCGTATGGGTAATTAACGCACTCACTCTTGGAACCAGCCATATGGGTAAGTAACACACTTACTCTCGGTACCAACCGTGTGGGTAAGTAACGGACTCACTCTTGGTACCAACCATATCGGTAAGTAAAGCACTTTCTCTTGGTACCAACCGTATGGGTAATTAACGCACTCACTCTTGGTACCAGCCATATGGATAAATATCGCACCCATTTTTGGTCCCAACCATATGTGTAAGTAACGCACTCACTCTTGGTACCAACCATATGGGTAAGTAACGCACTTACTCTTGGTACCAACCGTATGGGTAATTAACGCACTCACTCATGGTACCAGCCATATGGGTAAGTAACGCACTTACTCTTGGTACCAACCGTATATGTAAGTAACGGACTCACTCTTGGTACCAGCCATATGGATAAATAACGCACCCATTTGTGGTCCCAACCATATGTGTAAGTAATGCACTCACGCTTGGTACCAACCATATGGGTAAATAACGCACTCACTCTTGGTACCAACCATATGGATAAGTAACGCACTCACTCTTAGTACCAACCGTATGGGTAAGTAACGCACTTACTCTTGGTACCAACCATATCGGTAAGTAGTGGACTCACTCTTGGTACCAACCATATGGGTAAGTAACGCACTCTCTCTTGGTACCAACCGTATGGGTAAGTAACGCACTCACTCTTGGTACCAACCATATGGATAAGTAACGCACTTACTCTTAGTACCAACCGTATGGGTAAGTAACGCACTTACTCTTGGTACCAACCATATCGGTAAGTAATGGACTCACTCTTGGTACCAACCATATGGGTAAGTAACGCACTCTCTCTTGGTACCAACCGTATGGGTAAGTAACGCACTCACTCTTGGTACCAACCATATGGATAAGTAACGCACTTACTCTTGGTACCAACCGTATAGATAAGTAACGCACTTACTCTTGGTACCAACCGTATGGGTAATTATCGCACTCACTCTAGGTACAAGCCATATGGGTAAGTAACGCACCTACTCTTGGTACAAACCGTATGGATAAGTAACGCACTCACTCTTGGTACCAACCGTATGGGTAAGTAACGCACCTACACTTGGCACCAACCATATGGGTAAGTAACGCACTTACTCTTGGTACCATCCGTATGGGTAAGTAACGCACTCACTCTTGGTACCAACCATATAGGTAAGTAACGCACTTACTCTTGGTACCAACCGTATGGATAATTAACGCACTCACTCTTGGAACCAGCCATATGGGTAAGTAACACACTTACTCTTGGTACCAACCGTATGGGTAAGTAACGGACTCACTCTTGGTACCAACCATATCGGTAAGTAAAGCACTTTCTCTTGGTACCAACCGTATGGATAAGTAACGCACTTACTCTTGGTACCAACCGTATGGGTAAGTAACGGACTCACTCTTGGTACCAGCCATATGGATAAATAACGCACCCATTTTTGGTCCCAACCATATGTGTAAGTAACGCACTCACTCTTGGTACCAACCATATGGATAAGTAACGCACTCACTCTTGGTACCAACCATATGGATAAGTAACGCACTCACTCTTGGTACCAACCGGATGGGTAAGTAACGTACTCACTCTTGGTACCAACCATATGGGTAAGTAACGCACTTACTCTTGGTACCAACCGTATGGGTAATTATCGCACTCACTCTTGGTACAAGCCATATGGGTAAGTAACGCACCTACTCTTGGTACCAACCATATGGGTAAGTAACGCACTTACTCTTGGTACCAACCGTATGGATAAGTAACGCACTTACTCTTGGTACCAACCGTATGGGTAATGAACGCACTCACTCTTGGTACCAGCCATATGGGTGAATAACGCACCTACACTTGGTACCAACCATATGGGTAAGTAACGCACTCACTCTTGGTACCAACCATATGGGTAAGTAACGCACTTACTTTTGGTACCAACCGTATGGATAAGTAACGCACTTACTCTTGGTACCAACGGTATGGGTAATTAACGCACTCACTCTTGGTACCAGCCATATGGATAAATAACGCACCTATTCTTCGTACCAACCATATGTGTAAGTAACGCACTCACTCTTGGTACCAGCCATATGGATAAATAACGCACCTATTCTTGGTACCAACCATATGTGTAAGTAACGGACTCACTCTTGGTACCAACCATATGGGTAAGTAACACACTTACTCTTGGTACCAATCGTATGGATAAGTAACGCACTTACTCTTGGTACCAACCGTATGGGTAACTAACGCACTCACTCTTGGTACCAGCCATATCGATAAATAACGCTCCTATTTTTGGTACCAACCATATGTGTAAGTAACGCACTCACTCTTGGTACCAACCATATGGGTAAGCAATGCACTCGCTCTTGGTACCAACCATATGGGTAAGTAACGCACTTACTCTTGGTACCAACCGTATGGGTAAGTAAGGCACTCACTCTTGGTACCAACCATATGGGTAAGTAACGCACTTACTCTTGGTACCAACCGTATGGATAAGTAACGCACTTACTCTTGGTACCAACCGTATCGGTAATTAACGCACTCACTCTTGGTACCAGCCATATGGATAAATAACGCACCTATTCTTGGTACCAACCATATGTGTAAGTAATGTGAGAATGATAGACGAAAGAATGAATGAACTAGAAATGAGATGGGTACATATAGGAAACACATAAGTGTTGTACCCACTAAGAGCTACCGCACTACAGCCTAAATAGACCATAGCAGATATAAGTTTGACACACCCCCATAGGCAAAGTGGGGGAGAACAAGAGGTCACAAGACCAGTCAAGAAAAGCAAAGCAAGCTCAGGGTGGATCAGAAAGTCATCACACAGTCTGAGCACAAGCAAAGGGCCATAAGGCCAGTTCACATGCAGAGTTATATAAAGGAAAGTAAACAGTACAGTGAACACAACCTAGCAAGTGTAAGCATGCAGGTATAAGTATATAGAGTACAGTACAAGCAGAGTCAAGAAGTCAACAAGTGAGGCACAGTAGGTACAAGGCCTAACACAGTACAGAAACGCTGATGATCACAAGGCTGAAGTGCCTTGGTGAAAACATCAGCAGTGTTGGCCTGAGAGGCCACGTAAGCAAGACGAAGCTGGCCACGCTGCTGCAACTCTCGAGCAAGGAAGTAGCGCAGAGCAATGTGCTTCGTTCTGTGCTCCAGTCTGTGCTCCTCACACAAGGCCAGCATGGCCTTGTTGTCGACGTACAGAACTGGAGGAGAACGAGGCGCCTCTCCCAAGTCGGTCAGCAGGTAGGTGAGCCAGCGAAGCTCCTGTGCAGCCATGGCCCCAGCGTAGATCTCAGCCTCACAACTGGAGCTGAGAACCGAAGAAGAGCGGGTAGACCGCCAGGAGACAGAACCGGAGCCAAGGCTGAAGGTGTAACCCTGTGACGACCGCTGCGTAGCCATGTCGTCAACCCAGGAGGCGTCAGCGTGACCAGTGAGGACAACTCGAGCCCGTCCTCCAAGCACGAGCCCCATGCCCGATGTACTGCACAAGTATCGCAACACCCTCTTCGCAGCATCCCAGTGCACCTTTCGGTGCCTGCCGGGAGCCACGTAGCGAGCCAGAAGGCTGAGGGGGTATGCGAGGTCAGGTCGTGTGCAAGTCATCAGGTACATGAGGCAGCCCACAAGCTCTGGATACGGGCCACTCGGCTCTACGGACTCGTCCGAAGGTGGAGCTGAGAGCGAGTGACCGGTAGGCAGAGGAGTGGACTGTCGCGAGGAGTAGGTGAAGCCGAAGCGCTGAAGGACCTGCTGCACCATGTGTGACTGAGTCAAGGTAATGGTGCGCTGTGCTCTGTCCCGGGTGATCCGCAAGCCAAGATAGCTTGTGAGCTCACCCAGGTCTGTGCACGTGTGTCTCTTCTGCAGCTCGGACTTCACGTGGGCGAGTGCCTCCGTGTCAGCAGTAGCAAAGACAAGGTCGTCTACGTACACAAGAACGTAGAACGGCGGCAGAGTAGCGTAAGTGCGTAGAAACAGAGAAGGGTCAGCAGTGGAAGGAGCAAAACCAAGAGCAGCAAGAGTCGTCCTGAGCGTGTCGTGCCACTCACGGGGCGCCTGGCGGAGACCGTAGTCTGGCCGCCGGAGGCTCCACTGGGTACCAGCAGGAAACGACCCAGTGAAGCCAGGTGGGCGGCGCAGCCAGATCTCCTCGTGCAGGCTGCCCTGTAGGAAGGCTGTGCTGAAGTCAAGCGAGTAGAGCTCGTAGTCACGCTGAGCAGCAACGTGCAGCTGTACCCGAAGAGTGGTCATCTTCGGGGTAGGGGAGAAGGTCTGAAAGAAGTCAACTCCCTGTCGCTGACTGAAGCCACGTGCAACGTAACGCGCCTTGAAGGCAGGCGGAGAACCCGGCGGCCGCTTCACCCTGGAGATCCACATGCCACTGACGATGTTCGCCCCAGGTGGGGGAACCTCGTCTACGCAGGTGCCTGTGGACTTCCAGGAAGCCATCTCTGCGTCCATGGCTGCCTGCCACTGGGAGGAGTAGGGACCCTCTATCGCCTCTGCGTAAGAGCGCGGGGTCGGGATGTCTAGTGCATCCGGGTCTCCCCCAGGGGCAAGCAGCATGGACACGAGATGAGGTGAAGCAGCAGCAAAGCACTCAAGGTCCTCCTGCCTGTCCTCAAGGACGTCCGTGCCAAGAGCACACTCACCCCCGACGGACGGAGGACAGACAGACACAGACGCAGACTCAGCAACAAGACTAGCGGCGTAGTCTAGGCGACAGGCTGCAGCAAAGTCAACAAGCTCAGCAACAAGAGCAGACGCAGCAGAGAACTCAAACAGGGGGTCAGTGACAGCAGTGGCCAGAAAGCGCGTGACAGTAGGACTAGCAGCACGAAGGGAGTCAGACTCCGGGTCCGGACCGTCAGGAAGAGAGGACGCAGGAGGAGAGGGCAGAGGGACACGATGTGGAGCAGTGGAAGGACGCAGAGTCATAGAGTGAGTGCCAGGGACAGGAGGAAGACGCGGACGCGAAACACGACCAGCGCGAACAGAACGGACAGGCGACGTAGAACGAGACGCAGGCGACACAGGACGCGACTCAGGCTCACGACGCTCCGTAAGACCTCTAGTCGGACCAGAGTAAGGAGAAGGACCAGGCAGCAGAGAGGCCGGCTGTAACTGCGACTGAGACGGGACAGGCGGTGGACTCAGGGAAGGAGGAGGAGGACCAGGAGAAGGTGGGGAGCCAAGAACCTGCTGAAGAAGCGGAACGTAGTACGGCCGCGGCCGCGCAGCGCCTCGAGAAACAGCAGAGACAGAACCGGTACCCTCAGCCTCAGGGTCTCCAGTCCTAGCAGCACCTCCAGCAGCTCCAGCACCAGCAGCACCTCCTGTAGCTCCAGCACCAGCACCACCTCCAGCAGCACCAGCACCTCCAGCAGCTCCAGCAGCTCCAGCACCAGCACCACCTTTCAGCAGTGCCAGCACCTCCAGTAGCTCCAGTAGCACCTCCAGCACCAGCAGCACCTCCAGCAGCTCCAGCACCAGCAGCACCTCCAGCAGCTCCAGCACCAGCACCACCTCCAGCAGCGCCAGCACCTCCAGCAGCACCCGCACCAGCAGCACCTCCAGCAGCAACCCGACAGCGCCGAGAGTACCACTCACGAAGCCGCTGTGGAGAGAGGGGCTCCCGCCGCGACGGGACACCCAGAGCACCTCCAGACTCAACACGCGCAGGCTCAGCACCTCCAGACACAGTACCCTCAGGCGCCACACCCCCAGGCTCAGCACGTCCAGTCTCAGCACCCCCAGACTCAGCAGCCCCAGTCTCAGCACCCCCAGTCCCCGCACCCGCAGGGTCAGCACCCCTAGCAGCACCGGAGTCGACAGCTACCTCGACCGGTTCGGCAGGGTCTACCTGGGACACACCTGAGGGGGCAGGACCCTGGGGGGGGAGGGGGTCTACCGGAGGAGTACCTAGGGCAAGGAAGAGCGGCGGGGGAGGGGGAGAGGCAGTGCGGTAGGGAAAGAGACGGTAGTACGACACTGACTCGTCAAACGTGACGTCTTGAGAGGACAGAACACGACGCGAGCTGGGGTGGTAGAACTGCCACCCGGGTGCGTCAGTAGGGAAGCCAAGGAAGACACAGGGAACGGCACGGGAGGACAGCTTGTCCGCTGTAGTATCGCGGACAAAAGCTCGAGATCCCCAGACACGGAACGCGGACGCATCACCAACCTTCCCCGTCCACCGCAGAGTAGGTGTGGTCTCCGGCAAGGAGACACGAGGCTGAAGGTTGATCTGATGCGCAGCGTACTGAACCGCGAACGGCCACAGAAAGTGGGGAGCAGCCGCATGGATCATGGACGTACGAGCGACATCCATGACCATGCCAATGCGGCGCTCAGCAATCCCATTTTGCTGCGGGGAGGCCGGAAGCGTGAACGTCTGGCGGATGCCCTCCAAACGACAGAAGGCTCTCAGAAGGTCGGAGGAAAACTCCCCGCCTCTGTCTGAGTGCAGACGCAAAACAGGAAGGTCGGAGCCGAAACTCTCACTAAGCTGGCGACGAGCACCGCGGATCCAGTCGATCAACACCTCAGTGACCTCACCCTTGCTGCGCAAGGGGAAGACTGTGGTGTAACGCGAGTAGTCGTCAACGACCAGCAGGAAGTAACGCTCGTGACCCTGTCCACGAACGCGGGCTGGGCCCCACACGTCCATGTGAAGAGTCTGCAGAGGGGCCTCAGTCGTAGGAAACGAGGAGGAGTGAGGAGCGGCGCGCTGCCGGCCCTCGACACAAGGAACACAGGTGGGGGCAGGCCCCGGAGGAAGGGGAGGGAGGGACCTGGGGAGTCCAGAGACAAGAGCACGGGAGGCCATACCTCGAAGACGAGGCAGGGAGGGGTGACCAAGGCGGTGGTGCCAGAGGAGAGTCTCGTGCGCCAGAGGACGACACGAGCAGGGGGCAGACGCAGGACTAGACCTGGACGCAGCTACCTGACCAGACGCAGGGACCGGAGGAGGCGCAGTAGTCAGTGTGTACAGACTCGACCCTGGCCGACGGGTGAACGTGGCCAGGTGGCGGCACGTCCGAGAGCAAGTGCAGTGGGTCACACGCTGACCTCCAGGGGTGAACTGGTCAACCCACGCGTCCTGGAGGTCAGCTCCACTCACCAAGTTCGTAGAGAACGAGGGGAGGTGGAGTCCCGACAGCAAGCCCGACGGGGCCGCAGGACACGGTAGAACCGTGGAGGAGTGTGCAAGGACTGGTCCCCCGGAGGGGTCAGCAAGGGAGACCGCAACAGGCCGGCGGAGCGGCGTGAGCGTGGTGCTGTCTCTAAAGAAAGAGCGCGAAGCACCAGAGTCAAGTGTGAAAGTGTGAAAGGACTCATTAGGTGCAGTACCAGAGGGAGGAGACGTACCAGCACCTGGAGCAGCAGACGCACTAGCACCTAGAGCAGCAGCCGCACTAGCACCTAGAGCAGCAGCCACAGTGCCCGGGTCGCGCGGGACACGCAGGTAACAGTCACCCTCAGTAATATCAGCAAGAGCATACATGGCAGCAAGGATAGCATCAAAATCTAGATCAAAGATAGGCACATTCTGCAGAAGCAGATCATGCCAACGAGGAAGCTCAACAGCGTCAGGAGGGTGTCGTTATGAGGGGATGGGAGACACCCGTCTCCAGGCCAGGACGTACCCGTATGGCCACTATGAAGCTGACTGCAGGAGCTGATGTAGCAGAGCAGCAGCTTGGGAATGAGGAGGCATTGCTGATTCTACCGCATGGATATGACCCGGATGAGGAGGATGAACCTGCCTACTGTTTTCTTGCCCCTGCACCAGAGGAACCAGCAAGCATGGAGGAGGCATTAGCTGGACCAGATAGGGAGAAGTGGCTGGTTTCTAGGGATGCTGAGTACCAAAGCCTGTTAGAGAATGGGACATGGGATCTGGTGGTGCTGCCTGAGGGGAAGAAAGCTGTACAGTGCAAGTGGGTGCTAAGGATCAAGACCGATGACAAGGGACAGGTCACCATCTACAAGAGTAGGCTGGTGGCTAAGGGGTTTATGCAGAAGGAGAAGCAGGACTTCAATGAGATCTTTGCTCCCACTGCCAAACCCCCTACCCTCCGTGTCTTGTTGGCAGATGCAGCCGTTAGTGGGAAATCCATCATTCAGATGGATATATCAACGGCATTCCTCAATGGGATTTTAGAGGAGGATGTGTACATGACGCAGCCACCTGGGTATGAGGATGGTACGGGCAGGGTGTGCAAGCTGAAAAAGTCCATCTACGGCTTGAAGCAGGCGCCACGCTGCTGGTACCAGAAGTTGGCAGCTGTTTTAGAGGAGATGGGATTCAGGACCAGCAGCTGTGATGAGAGCCTCTTTCTCAAGGGGGAGGGGGAGAAGCTGGTGCTGTTTCTGGTCTACGTGGACGACATTCTTCTCTTCAGCAGCAGCATGAAGGAGATCCAGAACGTGCAGCAGCAGCTGATGAAAAACTTCAAGTGCAAGACCCTTGGGGAGGTAAAGTACTATCTCGGGATGCACGTGGAGAGGGATCTGGATCACAGGTGGTTGAAGCTGCACCAGGAGAAGTTTGTCAAGGAGCTGGGGGAGAAGTATGGGATTGAGAATGAGCGCAAGGTTGCAACTCCCCTGCCAGCAGAATTCAAGCTTGTGAAGGCAGCAGAGGATGAAGGGGTTGAACCCGAGGAGCAGCAGCAATTTCAGTCCTTGGTGGGCAGCGAGTATGCAGCAGTTCACACAAGGCCCGACATCTCTTTCTCGGTTGGGCAGCTGGCTAGGGTGGTGCAGAATCCATCAGAGGAGCAGGTGGATGCAGCTGAGCGTGTGGTGAAGTACCTGAACTCTCACCCAAGCATTGGAGTTCAATACTCCGCATCTACACAGGTGAAGCAGAAAGGGGTTGAGGTGCTGAAAGAGAAGGGGGAGCGGCTTGGAGAAGGCAAGCTGTTTCTCACTTGCTTTACCGATGCTACGTGGGCTTCTGAGAAGGACGATTCCTCATCTGTGGGAGGATAAATCTGCGTAGTTGGGGGAGGACCTGTTAGTTGGAGGTCCAAGAAGCAGACGGAGACGGCACTCTCCTCTGTTGAATCAGAGTACATGGCAATGTTCCATGGGGTGAAGGAGGTGATTTGGCTGAGGAGGCTGTTAGAGGAGATTGGCCAGGAGCAAAAGGTTGCTACGCCGCTGTTTTGTGATAGCAAGGGGGCTCTTGGGATGGCCAGGAACGCAGTGCTTCATGGGTTGAACAAGCACATGCGTATCAAGTGGCACTGGCTGCGTAAGGAGGTGAAGAGGGGGACCGTGAATCCAATCTATATCAAGACTCACCAGCAGCCAGCGGACTTCCTCACCAAGAGGCTTGCGGATGAGCCTCATTGGCGTTGTGTGCGCATGAGTGGAATGAGCATGAACTAGCATGGAATGATGTGGAATGCAGCCGGCAGGCTGAGGGGGAGTGTGTTGGGTGCAAATTCACATTGCACGACATCCTGCCGTCTGTTTGTACGAGTATGCGTGTGCGAATGCATTTGGGTGTGAATGGAATGTTCGTGTGTTTGTTTTGTTTTCGCAATTTTCGCTTGATGCATTTGCAGGTACTCGCGCAATGTGCGCTTCGGCACAACATTGTACGCGCTATGAACAGTGCAAGCAGAAAGGACGAGCTCGCAAAGGAACCCAAGATGGAAGCTTTGCAGTTCGGTTGAATTGAGTGCGCAGATTCAGTTCTATCCAACTCGAACTTGTACTGTTTTGTTTGGTTGACTATAGTGTAGCAGGGCAGGCACTATAGGGGTACAATTTAGGTGAAGGTTGGATGTTGTTTGTCTGTATCTGCATGCTACAGGGCCAGGGGAAACCAGCGGAACCAGCATTTGGCTGGTTGGGCAAAGACAAAACAGGTTCTGTTTTTAGGACCTGAACCTGGTTGCTGTTTTCACAGGTTGGAAAAACAGAACCAGAGGTTGTTTACCAACCTACCACCTGCTGTTTTGTCCAGCCAGGTTGGTTCTGTTGCTTGGAATTATTTGGGATCATCCCTGGTTGTTCCCAGGTTGATTCCCAAGGTCCTTGTTAGCTAGAACTATATATTCCTTCTCTGTTTGTACCTGAATAATATTAAAATTGATTCAAGCGAATTCCTTCCTTGCTGGAATTTCGTATCCACGCGATTCGACGGCAGAATGCTACCGAGTCAACGCTAGTACGCTAGCACTCCAACGCTAGGCAAACGCTGTCCGAGCCGTAACTCTGCAATGGCAGAACTTTTCGCGAGGCAACTTGGCTCTTTTGAAAGCTCTTAGAGTGAGCTTCGATATAACGACTTCTCAGCTTAATCCGATCGACGGTCTGCACGACACGCTGCGCGACATTCAAGGTACTCTTGCTGTTTTGACTAAGTCCCTCTTGATCCCTCTCTCTACAAACTCGGACCCGAGGATAGGGGCTGGTCTTGTACCAAGCACCCAGGGACCCTTGGAGGTGACCCCGAGGAGTGGTTTTAAGTTGGATAACGTCTTAATAGCCTGAGTTTATTAGGCCCTTACACCAACAAGCTGGTATCAGAGCTGCGTTATAGTGATCCTCGTTATAGGTAGCTATGGCGGGAAATACCTCGGCGGGAGCTGGTGAATCTTCAGCCCAAGATCATAGCGGCAGCCAGGATTCTGGTGTTTTGGCGCCAAGGGGAGCGCGAACAAACCAGGGCTCGCTGATCAAGGAGGTGCTGAAAAACTTCACCGTCGAGAAGTTCAATGGTGAGGGCTATGATGATTGGGCATGGAAAATGCAACTTTATTTCCGTCAGATCGGTTTGTTGAAACTAATGATTGGGGAGGAGCCTAGACCGAGTGACCCCGCGCTGCAGGAAGATTGGGACGAGCGCGCCTCGGCTGGCTACTACTTGATGTCGCAGAGTTTGGAGCTGAACCAGCGTCACCACGTCATGCACCTGCTGCCGGAGGTTGATTGCGGTCCGAAGGCGTGGACCGTGTTGAAGGAGCTGCACGCCCCGACCTCCGTTGTCGCAACGTTGATGCTGGAGAGGGAGCTGTCCGCATTGCGCTTGAGCGAGGGAGAGCCGGTGCAACCTGTTTTGGACAAAATGCGCGACCTCTACGCGAAGTTGGCGACCGCGGGAATCACCTACCCGGAGCAGACCAAGTGCTTGAAGATGCTATCGCTGCTGCCGGAATCGTGGCTTCAATTCACGAGCGGATTGAGCCTGCCGCAGAACCAGAGCTTGTGGACGCTCGAGTGGGTGCGGACGAAGATTCTGGAGGAGGACTTCCGTCGCCGCCAACTGAGGGGTGGAGACGACGGCAGCAGCGGCTACGGGATGCAAGGGAGCCGACGTGGCAGAGGACGTGGCTTTGGTGGTGCTGGACGCGGTGCAAAGAAGGATGACGACTCCAACGACCAACAAGGAGGTACCGGTTGGGGTCGCGGTGCGAAATCTGGACGTGGGGGCAAGTCGGGTGCTGGTGGCAAAATGAAAGGGAGTTGCTGGTATTGTGAGAAGGAGGGGCACCCCTGGTTTTTGTGCTATAAGAAACCCGATGGATGGACCCCCCAGAATCGTCACCAGGATGGCGGCGCGCAGAGGAACCAGAAAAACGGCGCGAACATGGTCGCCGATTCGTCCGACAACAACCCGAAGAGCAACGGCGGTGCAGAGAAGAAGAAGGAGCGCACCGCAGGCCAGTTCTTCCATATTGGAGAGCAGGGGGAGCAAGGAGACGCCTCTGCCAAGGTTGGAGCAGAGCTGCATCCCCTGGACTATTGGGTGTTGGACACGGGCGCTGCTTGGACGATGGCGCCACGCAAGGAGCTGCTTGATGACGTACGAGCTGCACCGATCAATGAGGTGTGCTCTGCTTCTGGACACGCGCTGAAGGTGGCTGGTGCGGGACGAGCTGCATTCAAGGGAGCGGATGGCAAGCCGGTGGTGCTGCACGACGTTCTCCTTGTTCCTGATCTCAAGGCCAACCTCATCTCCCTCCGTAAGCTTGCCAAGGCTGGGGTGAGCACTAGCACGGATGGGGCACGTACGTACAAGGGGCAGCTGGGAAATCGGGTGCTTTGGGATCTGCACGAGAGCATGGACGTGTACAGATCCATGTGGCAGCTGCCGGCGTTGGCGTGGCACGGTGGGAGGCAGGCTGGAGAGGGGTCTGCATCCCAGGGGGAGTGCAACGCCGTTGGAGAGGTTGGTGTGAAGGTGTCGGCCAGATCTGGGGAGACAGATTGGGCAACGGCACACCGACGCTTGGGGCATGTGGCAATGCCCTTATTGAAGCAGTTAGAGAAGGATGGAGCAGTCAAGGGTTTGAAGCTGAACGGACAGCCACCCGATGACAACTGTGAAATCTGTTTGCTCTCAAAATTCACTCGTTTCCCTTTTCATAGCGTGACTGGCAGGAGCAAGAAGCCTTTGGAGCTGGTTCACATGGACCTGGTGGGGCCGCTGCCGGTGCAAGGGTACAAGGGGGAGCGGTGACGTTTTTCCGTCGCTTTCATATC